TTACGGAAAAATCAATTAACAAACGGAGACGTAACAATATTATATATTAACTTTATGGAATGGCCATTTTCCTTGTCCGATTATTTTTGTTGCATTTCTGCAACAACTTCCATACGTGTAGGCGGGCATCCTGATTATGATGCATTAGCCACAGATCTTGTCTCCTCAAATTCATGAGATTAAGCAACGCTCTTGGGCCTCGACAAACACATCTTATCATAACGAAAGGCGCATAAAACCACTCCTACTTTACATTCACTGCAATAAAAAAAACTTCTCAATTGCTATGTGATCTTGGAGAAAAACCATATATCCACAATCATCTCTCTATATAATAAATATTGGTTCTCAAATACCTCCTCCAAACATTTATAAGTTTTAAATAAAATAACTGGGGATGTTGTTCGAGCAGTCTAGTGCAGATAACCCTCGAGTAGCCTTGCGAGAAATGCAGCAAACTAATATTACTGAAACAAAGTTGTTATTCAAAACACAAAAATTAAGAATTCTATATCGGTATTCACGCATCTTGGTTTTAAAGGAATAAGGCTGCCCCTATCAGTATACCAATCCCACAGAATCTAATATTGCTGGAGTTGAAAATTATTTCATAGCTGATATCCGGACTGTTATTTGCATGGCAAAGATTTGTTGTTGTTAAGCACAAAGCTACACACCATGCTATCCGTGTTCTGCTCACCACGGGTTTCGAAACCCCATTTTTATCCTCGAAAGCTTGCAGACTTGCCGTTGGGAGGCATTGGAAAAGAAGCTAAATAAAACTTTATATCTGATATCTATAATTAGCTTTTAAAAATTTGGCACTGTGCATGGGAACTAAAACCCAAGTACAATGAAATAATAATAATTATTACTGTTACTGCGAATATCTAAAGGTTTTTCCCTCACTAATTGTTTTTTTGCAAATTCACAATTTTAAAAAATACAAAAAAGAAATTCGTTTATTTGTACATAATTCAAACGTTTTATTGTAATATGATCATAAGTACACGTATAATATATTTATTTTTTACAAAGTATACCTTTTGTAAACATTTATTCAACCAATCCCGACTTAAGTACATCCAAAAACCCTTCACATACATTAAATACATTTTGTTCACCTATTCACAGCATATCCTTTGTTGCGGTAATTAAAAAAAAAAAATCGCATTCCAACAAATGAGATGAACGGAAATTTTTTTCATTTTAATAAATCTGAATTATTCCTAACGATTCCTACCACCAAAAATGGTGTTCACAGATAAACTTGTAACTGCTAAAACCTAATTTTTTCTTTTAATGTCCGTTTTTTCAAAATGAGTATCCCATAAAAAAATTATTAAAAACTATCAATAACTATAAAACGTACAATATTAACAAATAACTTAACTTCTTAGTCTTTGAAACCATAAGATCTTTAAACAAGAGGGGAGGCATTCAAATCTTTAATTATTTTCTTAGTAATACAAGATAATTTTAAAGATGGACACCATCTAGCAAGTACAGAGTATGTTTTTAAAATGTTAAGTGTCATCCTTTCGTATGAGGAGGCGAGCTTGTTAGAAATGAATACAAAATATTAAAATAACTTGAATAATAATAATAATCAACTATTGTTAATACAACAACAATTATTTGTAATTAGGCTTATACGAATCAGCATGCTGCAAAAAAAAAAATGTCTGCAAAGTTCTCTACAACGTCACGTACACATAACAACGGCATTCATAACCGGGCAACATTGATGCGATTTGTTGCCCGGTTTTCAAGGTAACATTGAAAAATGTTTCATATCACGGTAAAAAATTCACGCTTGGAGTAGAATAATAATTATTACATCACAAAATAAACTTTTGTAATTTCATAACATGGCAAAGGCTCTACTCTTTTAAGAAGTGTAGAGAAATTAAATGAAACATTTATCAACATACTCAAACCAAAGTTTTCAGTGTGGAAAAAATAAAGCTTTTCCTTTACTATCACAATAAAAAAAATTGTTTCGTATTATTTTAGTTAGATAACTATTTGAAACATAAATTACTAAGTTAATATACTGTACACATTCGTTTATAAGTTAATATTGTTGGAGACAGAGAATATTGAGGTTAATATGTCATCTTAAACTTTAGTAGGAAGTAGTCTTGTTGCTTATAATAAGTGACTTAATAAAACACTGCAGTTATTTGCACATTGAAAAAAAAAACATTATAAAATTAACCTAACATCCCATGTTTCACTTCATTCAATAAATCCTTTACCATAAATAAATATACAGAAACCATTCCAAAAGAAGTAAACTTGAAGAGAACCATGTTATAAAACACATGTAGATACATCTTTTTAGATCCTTTTTATATACAATTATAAAATCTAATGCAACTTCTCTTGATTAATGATCAAATGGTGTGACAAAATTAAGTATAATAACTTAATACTGTATAAAAAAGTTTTCAGACAGCAAAATATAACTTAATTATTCCAGAAAAATAAAAACTTGTGTGTGTGTGTGTGTGTGTGTGTATATAATAAAGACTGATAAATCCAGTACTTACACTGAATTCGTCTTTCTTATCAAGATGATTTGCCCCTCAAAAATAACTTAGGTTAGAAGCTCTCTTTTAACACTGACATAAATAGAACTTTAAATTAATTTAATGCTTTTTATCCATTTCCTTCAACAAAACTGAAAGTCACACCTGTCCTACAAAAAAATAACCATATTATAAAATAAATAAAAACATAATGTAAGGTTGTTACAATTCTAGTACACAAACTTCCATTCTTGAAACATATTTAGCATTTTTTACCACTTTAGTCTGTGATGGTTATTAATGTTAATCACAAACTTTGATGAATTATCCATTTGTTTAGACAATAAATAAAGCCTATAATGCACTGTCTACCCTCTCATATTTCAGCAGCTAGTCTAAATGTACTTCAAATGTTTTTCTTATCAATACATTTCCTGTTGTAGTTTATTATGATAGACTTGTTAAAAAAATTATCTCCTAAACATTTTCAGGTCACATTTCAGCTGCTCTTCAAATTATCCTGCAAGGGGGTTTTACAGTATATGATATTTGGTTATCATATATTTTTACAGGTTTTTAAGGAGAAACAAGTATTATTAAGAATTATAATGATCAAAGTTGAGAAATAAGTTAAAATATTTAAAAATCTTAAACATGGAAGTCAGCATGATTAAACTTGGCTACAAACTGAATAAATATAAAATATAATATCACTCTTCTTTAATTTGTATCACTTTGCAAGTGAAACTTTCGAAACCAAAATTCACATCTTTTAACCAATCATTAGATAATTCATCTGGCTGTAAGACTTGCATCAAAGACTACTTTAACTTTATCTGAGGTACAGTGTAAAAAAATATTGTACACTAACTATACTAACCATAAGAAGATAATATGAGATGCTCTACATGGAATATTTTCACATCACCAAGGTACAAGTGATATGCCAATTTTTATTTTAGAATAAAACGTGTATATTTGAAAATACACTACCATATGTACATGAAGGATCACACAGAAAACTTCAAACCTCCTCACAAATACACAAGGTTTGATACATGTAACCTAACCATCAACAACTAGCTTTCAATAATACACAGGATAAGATACATGTAAGCTTCTCTAGCAAATTAAGTATTTGCTGCTTATATTATTTTTTATGATCTTACCTACACAACATAAATGTTGCATATATACTTTCACTGGATAAAACAAAATGTACAATGCACTTCTTCACATAAAGATATTATTATTATTATTATCATAAAACTCATTCTTGGTCTCCAAATTTGACCACCAATAATGAACTTTCATATCAAGTCTTTCCAAACTCAATACCTTACACCTCAAATTTAAGAATATCGTAATATTAACTGATCTTTTTATTTTTTCTTTTAGTATAAACTTTTCATTGATCATTTGTTATAAACATCGTTCCATCATATACATTACAACATGTACCACAAAACTGTTGTGCAGAAACAACATAAAGAAACCTGCCTCATCATTAGCCATACCTCTTCACAATTAGTAAACTGCTGTCATAAAATATAACAACTTAGTTTAAACTAGCAAAATCACATGCATTAAATACATCAATTCATAGAGGCTTGTGAGCCGATTATCTTTCAGGTTTTAAGAAAACTTGCAATATCTTATTATGTACAATTATTATGTATTTTTTGGCATTTCTTTAGAGTATGCACATTTTTTAAGCTGTACTGGTGCAAAAACCCATACACAATTAACATTACATATGAAACAACTACTGGATTGCATTTCTTTCAAAACAACATTTGTCAGGAAAACTAACATTCTTTTCATGCAGAGACATAAAACAAAACTTTTTACTTTATATATTTACAAATTTTAAGTCTTTAATAATTCTGATTCATCTAAGAATAAAATTACAATCTTATGGAAGCTTTCCAGTTTGGTAATTACATCTCTCTCCCATAGGGAAGGAGACATGTTGCATTTTTTCGGCTTCTTTCTTCTTCAATAATTTTGCCTTATTCCTTTATTTCTGGGTTAACTATCTGGAAATGTAGAGGTCATATACTTTTGTGTAATGTTCCCCAAAACTCTCTCTCACTTTGTAGATTCAACCCCCTCCCCTTCTGATTTTAGGGATTCAAAGGATAAACATCACAAAACTCTTATTTTGGCCTGCATTTCCCTTATAATTCCATCAGTCCAAATGGAATTAGCAAAAAGATACCTTCTGTCGGCCCCAACAGATTAAAGCAGACAGAATTGGGAGTTGTGCCTTTTTATTTTAAATGAGTCAAAAGTAAAAGACATTCAATGAAAAATAGGGTTTTCGGGCTGCAATTTCTTTATATTTTAACTATTCCGCAGCTAGAACTTAGCACAAAGATACCTAACAACTCACACACTCTCAAGTGGATAAATATGAGATTTTTGCCTTCGTCGAAGTTTTATAGAGGTAAATGGTAAAATTATTTCATAGAATTAGATTTTTTGGGCTGCCATTCTTTTATATTTCAACCAATTTTGATGAGGCTTTGCTTATATATGCCTTGCAACAACCCACACAGATATACAATATGCACCTTCCTTGAAATTTTACAGGGGTAAAAAGCTGATAACACAATTACACAATCCACTTTTGGAATCATATTGAACAACAAGTCTTGTGTGCCCAACAAAAAATTACCTGTAATGTTTTGATCATTGTGAATTAATTTATTTATGCAGAAACTGTCTTATGGTCACAATCTAGATTGTCATTTACAAAACTTTCATAGTCTGATTTTTATATGCAGGTGAAAGCACACAAGATCAGAAAAATGAAAGCTACTACATCAATCATGATTTTTGAATGACCAATTACAATGTTTAGACTTGTGCCTGGCATCCAAATTGCATGTGATCAACACAGCCAAATTCCTGTAATACACGACTTATTTATGCATGAAAAACAAAACAAGCTGATAAACTTAAATATTTTCTTATCTTTACAGTGATTATTATCTGGTGTTATCTTTAAGATTATAATTTTTGCATGAAAAATGGCTCTTTCAAAGAGAAGTTAGTTTGAAAAAAAAAACAAATTAATGAAAGAAGGCCTATTGCACTCTTACTACTACAGCCAACATTATCAGGCACTTTTTTTTCTTTTTACACATAAGATGATAAGATCTGATGAAAGATTCAAGTTTTATTAATCAAATACTTACACATAACAATTCATCAATTTAACTTCTCCAAAGTCATAAAGTTCAACCATTAATATGACTGAAGTTACTGATATTCATCCTCTTACATTATCCCCATTCACCTGATTTCTTGGTATCAAACTTTTGTTTTGTCATTTAATCTTGATCTTCTGAAAACCATAAAAGTATCCAAAACTATTTGATGTATAATATCATTCTCGATGTCTTTTCCTCTCAGAATCTATAAAGTCATCCTGAAGAGAAAAAACAAACAAAAAAACGTTTATTAAAATACAACACAATTCGTATAAAAAGCAAGTATGTTGAGAATTAGTTTATTATAAGTACATTTGAATTAAATATTTTTCAATTCAAATATAATAAAAAAAAAGAATTCAAAAACACAGTTTCATATACTTAGCCAAGAAAAAAAATCCAGGACTTAAAGAAATTTGTTTCATAACTAATAAGTGGAAGTGTTACAAAACAAGCTATAAGTTAATAAGTAAACAAAACATGCACACATTGCATCAGAATTTATCCTACCTTGAAAACATTCAAATGCCCTGTAAAGTGCAGAATGTACTTCTATACAGAAGGATTTCATTATTAAATGTCATGCACCCCCAGTCACTAAAATTATCTAATATTGTTGTTACTCTATGTACTGAAAGTATAAAATGAAATGTATAGACAACAAAATTAAGAAAATATTTGTTGATTTCTTAATTTAGTCTCCGTAGATTAAAAATGTTTGTTTTTATTAAAAACATTGGTGCTATAACAAAAACTGATTTAAATTTAAAACTGAATTGATATTTTTACTTTCATGATAAATTTTACATACTTCGCTCTAGGCTAGGTGATCCAACATTACATCTTTACTTTAGGCTTATTATATCAACACTCACTACACTCATGGCACCCCATCACCTCACTAAAATTGTAATGGGCAGACAGTAATCAAACTATTCTATCTGGATAAATGCATTTTGGCTTTTATGACTCTCCTATTTTGAGAAATCAAGCGTAATGTGACACACATTGGCTTTTATATAGATTAGATAAAACCTTAAACATTTTGGAACCTGCGTGCAAATATGAACCATGTATAAAAAATTCTCTTAAAAGTTATACAATAGATACTGCTTTAAAAAACTACATTAAAGCTTCTAATAACACTATTCTTTGAGAGTTACATTTGTAACTAATTTGTTGCTATATATTTATTTTAATATGAACGTTGTTTAGATTAAGTTTATATTTAGAAACATACATAACTTATAGTGTTAGATAGGTATTGCAAAACTCCCGCCTATTCTCCAAAGTCGCAGAAGATTCTCGAGAGTAAGAATCAACAACATATCTATATACGTAAATACTTTAACCAGTATTGTTACACAAGACTGAATTTTCTAGAAAAAGTTCCCATGCCTATAAATAGAACCAACACGATGCGGCAGAGAGAGTGTCTATTATTAGTTCGCTATATATCGGTGTGATATAAAACTTCAAAAGCTATAACTGTGATTGTTATAATGCTTATCAATTGGAAAACTTAAGATATCTGACCAGGAATATTTATAAATTGACTAAAATATCATCATATACTTAAATACTAAATTTAAATTATCAGTTAACTCGGCTTCGGACTATTTAAAATTCTAATACATAACACATTCAAGATGGAAAGAACTGTAATGAACTCTCCCAGCTTTCAAAGTAAAAAGTATATCAAATATACAAATGCTAGAAAAGCTTTTAATCTGTAAAGACTACCAACAAAATTAAGAACATAATAGACTTTGCAAAAAATAGACATTTAAAACCTAAACACTGTCACACGGCAGTAATAATGCAAATTAACTACATTTTAAAGTAACAGAAAGAAGAATGAAACATTTCTTTCTACTGTTTATTAAAGCTTATGATTACTTTCATGCAAACAATATCAACAAACTATGGATATTCTACATTAAAAAATATTTTCTATACATTCACCTTTACCAATACTTTTTGTACTTCAATGAATAAATTCAATAATTATGAAAAGCCAAAACTGTGTGGAACTACTATATTAATACAATAAGATTGTTTTGTACATTTAAGAATATTCAGCACTTTCTTCCTTTATTTTGTGAAGAGACTTAAAACTTATTTTTTCTTAACCTTTTACTGCTCAGTAACATTCCAGTATAATAAAAAAAATTGTTTGAAACTTAAAAGGAACCTTTTAGAGATTAAATAGCTTCTGTAAAATAAAATATGTTTTTTTTAAAGCGACATTTATATGAAATATCAGCTTTGGAAATTCAAAAAATTTCTTTGTGAAATGTTTTCTTTTAAAGGATTAAAAAAAATATGTACATTTGTTGTTATTACAGCTCTCTATATTTTGCTAAAATATTGTAAAGTCTTTCAATAAATTTTACTAAATATATCTATAAATTTTGTCTTTCTTTTTTTTTATTCAAATTTAACTTTCTTAACAGATCAACATCATAAGGAAGCCAACATTTTAAATGCTAAGCAGGTTTCACTTAATAAACTAAGTAGATATTAAATCTGTTTTATATTCATTTATACTTGTTTGTATCTCTGTCCATTTAAGCAGTAACACAAGGACAATAAGGCTTAATGTAAACATTGCCTCACAAACAGCAGTCTTGGTGGTAAAACAAATTTGATTTAACCACAAATAATACCAATAAGTCACTACGGCAATATTCTGATTATACAAATTTACTTGGCCATATTGACAAATGAAACAATTTTGTCTCCAAATAAGTAATTGTACTTGAATTCTAAGTTAACCATAGTATTCCGGAAATAACTCCAAAGAACAGACAGTACAATATTTATATCCAGTTACTTTTACCTTTCCTCCAAGATTTTTGTGAAATAGTGCAACAGCCCTTTAACCCTATGCATATGAGAGGGTCAAAGAAAACATTTCTTGACCTTTAACAGTTACATTCAACATTTAAGTAAATAATTTTATTATATACACATGATAATAAAATTGGTATTAAAATTTAGTTTATAATTCAAAGTTGTATACTATCCAAGTTTAATTTCTTAATTTCAAAAGAAAATATTTAGATAAAGTCACAATCTTCACTCCCTCTGTCATGTGATGTCTCTGCTTTCTGAATACTCCTTTTCAGTTTTTCTTTCATCCCATACATGGGTCCAACAATTAGATACACAAAATATAGATACCAAGAGGCCAGAATATAAAATAAGAACCTCCCACCTTCTTTACTTTCAAATATATCATTAAGTTTATCATACCCATTACAGAAGTTCCTCCAAACTCTTCATGCTTTTGAAAGCATTAATTTGCTCACACCTACTTGTCAGTGGTACATCTTTATAATCAACAGAAAGGCCATTTTGTGAACTACACAATTCTTATTACTGAGCTTACTTTTTATGATGAAAGATGTTATTTTGCAAGATTTTGACAAGTATAGGCTGAAGTCATGCTCTAAACAGTATTGGAATTTAACCTATTTATAGCTTAATTAAAATTAGAAAGCCAGATAAACTATAATAGTTTGAGACATTCTATTCTAATGCCTTATACGTTTTTGTGCTCCAAGATGCATATTTGAAAGCTACATGAATTATTTTTTTGTACAACATAGAAAAAAAAAGATGGCTTATGAAAGCAGGCATCCATGCACAAACTACCCTAGGGCTAAGGTGAGTGCTTAATTTCTTTTATTAAATGTATATTTTTCATTCATTGCTATATATTTTTTAGCAAAGTAACTAAAATGCAAAAATTAAAAACCTGTTAGGTTATATATAAAAAAAAACTTGAAAACAACAAAAAAATTTTTTTAGTGTTTATTCCTTCAGGATCACACATAGTTAGGGTCTAGTGATGTAACCTGAAACTTTGTTCAGTCTAAGTTCACCATATTAGCAATGAGTAATTTACTGCTTATTACAGAAGTTATTGGCTGTGAAGTTGTTAGGAACTTGAAGCTTTTTAGGATAAATAAATGTTATTGTTGTCTTGCAAAAAAACAAAAAAAAAACGGGATTTTTTATTTATTTCATATTTTTTAACTTTCGCTATTTAGTGTTACGGTATAGAAAATAATCGTTAAAAGTATAAAGTTTTACTGAGAAAAACTTCTGATATTCATTTAAGAAGTTCTTTCCAAACTACATTTCAGTCATGTACAAACACACAAGAGAAGTGTACATACCACTGCTAACTGTCGTCCAATGTTTCCTACTGTAATACCACCACAAAAAAGTACACATGGGAGCCAGGCTCGGATGTAGAGAAAGTCATGCTCTGTGTAGCTGTAACAGTGGCAAATATTTATGCAAAACATGACAGAATTAAATACAAGCAAAATTTGACAGAAGTAAAGAGTACTGTATCTTTTATAGTTTACATTTGGTTCAAAACAGGATTAAGATCATAGCCTAACATATCATAACTACATTTAAGTGCACAATGTCTTACAAATGAAGTAAAACACGATGTACATGACAAAATATATTTCTAATACCCGTCACAAAACTTTGTGTCTAATTACTATTTAATACAACCTGTCCACAGTCTCAAGTTATTGTATGTTACAACCTACATGTATAATTTTGATCTTCAGTGAAACCAAAGCTATAACCAAGCAAATACTGTACTAATCAGTGCAGTAAGTTGTGTGTTTACGGCAATGTTGCATTATTATACATGCTTTCACTTGTAATTTTACATAAACTTAATGAATGTATTACAAAGCTATTTTGTAAGTAATGAATCATAGGTATTTAATTCATAATACTGATTCTACTAAGTTAAACATACTTATAAAATCTTAAAATATTACACTAGGAACCAACATTTATAAAAAATAAAGGTTTAGCTTTAAGTTAACATTCTGTTTTACTTTCACAACTTAATACTTTCATATCCAAGAAATATTTAGTCAAGTGATAACAAGTAAAATCTCCTTTAGTTGAAGAAGAAAACAATTCATGTAAAGTTGAAACTTTCAACTTAGTACAACTAAATTTTTAAAAACTTAATGGAGTTTAAATGCAGAAATAGGCATTGTATCACAGCTTTGACAAAAGGAGGGTGAACTTTCTATTGCAAAATATACTGTATAATGCAAGGTGCAAGGTTTTTTTTACTTCTGAATTATAAAAAAATAATTTGAGGAGGATGGCCCCCTCTTTCTGAAACTTTTAGTCAAATTGGATACAAAGTAATAAAAACAAAAGACAATGTGCAGCACACACAATTACAGTGCAAAGATTGTCAAATTAGTGAGAAACCACAAGATAAAGCTAGTTTTTCTGTACAACTTAGATGTATTATTTTGTTCTCATAATTTAAGGTTAATTTTCAGCATTCACATGCCAATCAGTTTGGTGTTCAAACACAACAGCAGTTTCTAGTAAGCACTAGGTAACAGGTTTACACAACTTAGGGGCAAACTTAAAGTGTGGGCTATAGCACCATGCTGAAAACAAAAAGAGAAAAATAAGGCTTATTATGATGTTTAGTTGTTTTTTTTTACCTTAAGTCCTTAGTTTCAATCATAAGCTCAGTAGAAAAAATTTAGCCACAAGCCCAAATGACCCTTAATCCACCCCTGGAACTGTCCAATCAAAGAATAACATTCAACAATTAAGAAATGATTCAATGACAATTCTTTTTAAATGAATCATTACTCCTTAAATAACCATCCAAGTCTTGTGAAAAGTTACCCTTTCTTTTTTTTTATGTGCTCCAAATTATTTGTGGTTATTTCTAGCTCAAGAAATTCATGCATGATGACATTCTTAATTTTAAATGTAGCAAGCTGCATATGTCAATGAACAACTAAGTTCAAAATGAAATAAAATACAAGGAATATATACATATATATATTTTTATTGAGTAAAATTAGATTAAGTTTTATCTCCCTGTATTCAAAGTATTTGAAATCTGTGTATATTTTTCTTCAAGACTGGTTACTATGACTATTATTGAACCCTTGCAGGTGTAATTTTTTCACTCAAATGATTTACAAGCATTTGAACTTCAAAGTTAATCTTAAGATGCCCTTCAACTTTTTTTTGCATTTATGTTTGTAACAATTAAAACACATCTAAAACTTTATTCCTTCATGTGCAGGAAAACAAACTACCTTTTTTGGGACATTGTACCTTGTTGCTAGCCAGAGTGGAAAAGTTCTATGATATCTAGTACATGGACAACTTGATTACAACTGCATATCGCATATAGAACAAACCCAGTCAGACATTAGCAACTGATATAAAAAGATCACAGTTGAGATTCTTCAATCACTTAACAATAGAATAATAACCTGTTTCAAAATGGGCTTTATCTACTGATAACCATGCTATAAACTGAGACTGAATTTTGTTCTCATATATAACTAGATGCAACACTTTCTTAAGACACAAACAACTCTAACTTACTTACTTGCACACACCATGATAGACTAACATCTGTGTTATAAATGTTGCAATCACAGCAATGCTCACACCTAGTCCCAACCCACTCGTGGTTCGATCAAACCACCACCAAAGTCCAATAGACAGAACTGTAAGTGATAGTGATAGTTGGAGGTTGCTAGTGAAATTGATCTTCTATATTGACATAGTTAAGAAAAACTAGCTGACAAAAATAAAATAAAAACATCTTGAATGTAATTTTTTTTTTTTTTATATGTAATTAGATGTTACAATGAAAATGTATTGAACAATTATAAATGTTAAAATTGGATCAAACAGTCACAACTTACAAATTTATTTCAACATATCTATAAGATAAATAAAGGATACGGCAATGGCATGGTTAATGCCAATAAAAACACCAACACATCGTATCACATTTGACCATTCTTGTTCATAAAATTGGTGTTCTCCTAGCTTTTGGTCTAGGCAAGGATACAACAAGCCCACAATGGCTGAAAGACAAGTTATACATGTATAAATTTATATCAACATTATAAAAAAAAGTAATGTGGATGTTACGAAAAAAAAAAAAAAGAAAACGATTTTTACCCACATTGCACATGATTATGTTAAAAGAGATAGCATTTTTTAATAATGATTTTATACACTTCCTACTACTTCAGTATTACGCTTTAATATTAATTAATGTGACTTTTATACAAACAATAACTGCAGTAAAGTGAATTAAAATTTCATACATGAAAGTTATTTTCAAAATGATACTCTACATAGAATTGTACACACATTTATTGTATAGATAAATATTAATTATTACAGAAATAAAGCAAAGTTTTTAACAAATTTTTTTACTTTTTACATGGGCCATATAAACAAATACATAGCTTACATTTAGTTTACATTGCTTATACTACAATAAAGAGGTATTAAATTATTGAATTCAAATTTTACATAAAGTTTTCATATAATTATTAAGAGAATAACTGTACAATTAAGTAGTCCATTTCACTTTCACATGTTATGATACCTGATGCTGTTCCAGAAATAGCTGGAACCCACCATGGGGAATATAAAACACTAAATGTAATAGGAAGTTTCAGCAGTGGCAGGTTTCGTTGAATTTGCAACAGGCTCAATATTAGGGTGAAAAACACTCCTGTAGTGAAGAGCACAATTCCTCTAAAGCACAGCTGAGCCAACGTGGCTTTCATGACTCAGTATCTGTATACAGAAAAAAAGTATCTATTTACATTTCCATTAGAAACACTACCCAAAACTTAAGGTGAAAACATTTATAATTTCATTAATTTATATAATTTAAGTTAAATAACTTTTAAGAAATAAAAATGCTCTTTAATCGGAGATAACTATATATGAATACTTTAGACCTAATTCACGGTTAATTTGGGATGAAAGACACCAGAATTTAATAATTCACAGTACTATTGATAGTTATGTGAAGGTAACTCACCTAAAAACTACACTTGATGAAGGCTATAGAACATACATGCAGATAACTACTATATCATTCTAACTACATGTTATAGACAGGTTAAATAAAAAATCTACATTAAGTACATGCAAAATATTATATTACAACAACTACATCTAGGTCACTTGTTAGACAAATGTGCATTCTTGCTTGATCTGTATCTCTATGTAACTCAATACTTGTACAACTTCTCAAAGTGACAGTAAAATGTTCATCACTATCCATATGCACAACACATGTCCAGCTTTTCATCAGACAGCTTGATGACCTTTTTCAGCACGTAGCTTAGCTAAACAATGTCAAGCTAAATTTCAGACATGTACATAATGCAGTGTCACCCAATCAAGAAATGGAAAGTAGTACTCCTTATGGAATATTTCTTCCAAAGAAAGCTTGCTCTTACTAAGAAAGTGACTAGAATTTAGATTGAAGCATATACAGATTGTGAGTGAGTTTACTTCCAAGGAAACAATTTTAACAATAAATTTCATGAAATAGGTCACAAACTATTCAAGTTTCTTTGAGTTTAACTCAATTTTGTTTTTATGTATTTGGATTTCACTACAAAAATTCAATACATTTTTTATATCAACAATAGACATAAAAGTTATGAATACAATACTTTCTCCCTTCAAGTCAGAAATATGTTAAATCAATATACAATTACAAAAAAAATAAGTAAACAAATGAATCAAAAAATACATGTGCCAATACTAAAGTACAAATACAAACAACACAGAATATACTTTTATCATTGATACAATAAAATAAAATATTACATTAACATATATAAACAGATGCAGAAAGGCAATGCAGAATAAAAGTAGTTGCTTCAATATAGTACTAATTTTTTTTTAATATTATATAAAAATAACAGTAAAAAATAAAGCTTTAAACTTACTACAGGTAGTGTGCAATAAAGCGAGTCTTTTTATATTAAACAAGTTCAATGTCAATTTCCTATGTTGGTGGTTTAACACCACTTGTAGCACATTTTAGTGAAAGTGAGCCTCTTGTAGCTGCAAGGAATAAAATAAGCAAACATTAGTAATAATGACAGTACAGTGTTGCTTAGTTCACATTTATAATTTACTTTTGTCTCTTTGGAGAGCTTCCTTATCAAAACCTGTTCTTAACCTGTAAACCTAGATAAATTACACAAATAGATTAATGATTATACATGTATCATAAATGTGCGAGACAAATTTCATGATTAAGCTAGACTCAGACACAACAAATATGATAAGTTTATTTTAGACCACAAGGTGAACAATAGAAAATGTAACTACACTTATTCATACATGCTGATATATCATGTATAATAATTTAAAGAAAAAAATGCAGCAGACAAGAAGTTGTATTGTACTCATCAGTTTAAAAACTTTTTTCCTGGTTTAAATGTTTAAACCACAAATATATAGGAGTGAAAACTTGTAATTACAATTTTTGTGTTAAAAAAAATAGTTAACTATATACCTTTAACTATTTAAAAAATTAGAACAAATTCTGAAACTATCAACATTATTACTCAATATTACACATTTTTTATAAGCAATTTCTTATATATAAACATAATGCATTTATAAGTTAGAAGTAAAAACTTGTAATTCCAGTTACTCTAGGTTTGAAAAAAAATTAACTATTTACTTTTGTAAACTATTTAAAAAATTAGAACTGAGATTTCTGAAAACTATCAACATTATTACTCAATATTACACACATTTTTTTTTATAAGCAGTTTCTTAAGTACAAACATAATTCAGTTAAAAATATATGTTTCATAGATCTGCCACTAAAAAAAAAATCCTTGTATACATTAAATTCAATTAAAAATTTGTCCATCATCATAGCCTAAACTTAAAACTGTTAACTTATAGTTTCAACTTCAGTTCATAGGTTTTCTTTCAGAATTTTTTCAGGGTTAATGTTGCAAATCTGACATTTGAGTAACAAATGTGCAGTATGTTTAAAAAAATAGTCTGATTGTATTCCCCAAAGTTTTTAAAATGTGTCAAATTGTATAATTTTAAGGATACATATCTTTTTCACACTATATTATCATCTAAGAAAAAAAAAAGAGGTAAATTTTCAAAAAAATCTAGGGGGTAAAAGAACTGAATTTAGGGGAAGGCCTTTATCCATCCATATGAAAAGAAAACCCCTGCAATTGTATGTAGTACATTAGTAGTGCTTCTACATATACATGTGGATACCCACTTCAAATTGCTCCTATCTAACAGGTCAGCAAAATTCAAAGGTCATCAATTACACTCACCTTGAAATACTCACATAAATGTTGCTTCTTTGTGAATAAAACACATTATATATTACTAATGGTAACTGACATGACAAGTATTACTCATTGATACAGACATCTTGATTTGTAAGTCAACATACAAGAAATGTATAGGTACAGATAAGTCTATAAAGTAGAAACCACAACTTTGTATATCAATATGTACATGAACACATTACAATACACATAATCATAAGTCAATGTAATCATTTTTTAGTGTGCAGGTTGGTCAAAATACCCAATGCATTGCTTGATCTTGTTTGCTATGATTAAAATATAGGCTTAAAAATAAATAATAATAAAAGAACATGATCTGTAAATACATTAAACTGGTCAACAGCTTTTAGTGAAAGTTAATACATTTTATTAATAGACCCCATTTTAATGTAATGAATCTTAATATGTACTCTAGAAAAAAAAGTAAATTAAGTAGTTGTGTTTAACAAATCATAAACCTCTAATCTTCATATTAAACTTTAAAGTGAAACACAAGTGTCTGTCCCAGATTTTGGGATAGCTTACATGGATTGCAAGATATGATAATGGTCAAGACACTGACCAAAGTGATAAGAAATGAAAATAAACCTTCGAAGTAGGGATTTTATTAAATTTTTGAGTACATCTTTAAAAAAGATTAATCTATGCCATATCAATTACTTTACCTACTTTTCTAATATAATATGTTTAGATGAATGCATACCATAGTCACATAAAGGATTAATAAGATTTAGTGAAAAAGTGGAATACTAGTTGTTCATTATTTATACCAGTGACTTGGGTAAATTCACGGACAGTAATATTTATTTATTATGCCATTAAAAGCTGATCCTACTCTAAACTTTTCTAATTCAAAAGGGTACTGAAAGAAAGTGCATGGAAAACAAGTTTCAATGTTGAGAAGTGTTACGAATCTGAGGTATGACAACATAAAATGGAGAAAGTTCCCTGTGGAGAGAAGGAATTAGGTGTGGTTGTTGATAAAGATTAGTAAAATCTTTAAGAAAAACAAAAAAAAATGAGCACAGCTTTATTTTCTATTTATAGAAGAAAATGGTGTTATTTCTTAATAAATAAAATTCAATTAGCAAAGAATCAAGTGAACACTTCAGATTTCTAATATAGTTCTGCTGGGTAATGGCAAAATAAATTAAATAAAATTGTGGGTCAGTAGTATTGCGATCATATTCACCCCATATTGCTTACTCAATTAGAAAAACTGAAGAGTGAGCTTATCAATGAAAATATAAATTTATTTGTACAAAGTAACATGTCACTATCAGTAGAATTGTAATTTGTAAAGTTAAAAGATAAACAAAAATTAAGGTACTTGAAAGTTATACAGATGCAAGCTACATGACTGGTTGCATGATTAACAGACTGCTTTAACAGTTTAAGATTAAAAGTAAAATCTAATTCGATTGTCTTGCCTCTTACTCTTAGCAATAAAATACAACTACTGTGACAGGCCAGGCCAAAAAGTCGTAATTTTGGCTTCCAAAGTAGGGTAGATATGGAGGACACAGAATGATTAAAAAAAAAAGTGAAAGAACCCACACTATAGATTAATAATAACTGCACCCTACCCCTTGTCTCACGTGTAATTTCGTTGACAAATACCTGACGCCTTAGTTTTATACTATAAATTATAGTTATACTGTTCTAACTTCTACTAGTACTAGTTATAATTCTACGAGTAGTGACTACTATGACTCAGTAAGAGTCAAGAGTAAGACTGTAATTTTATAAGACTAAAAATAAAAGTAAGGAGTTCTAAGTTAGTTAGCCTAATAAAAAACAAACTTATTATAAATATGTACATTTTCATACAATAAAATTTTGAGATGCAATTACTCAACTTACTTATCTAGTCCAACGACAGCATTAGCAAGTTCCCCGAAGACTGAAGGCTCGAGGCTTAATAGTAATACTAATACTCAAAATCCCCAAATTCTTCAAAATAAATTAAGTTTACATAACTTTTCATTTTAGTTAAAAACAAACAAAAGTAATATTATTTGTGGGCCTAAGACAGTTTTTGTTTGGACTTAGGTTACAACTGCAAAGATCGCTAAACAAACAAAATAGATAATTTAAATTTTGTAATGTAACTTGTAAATTAAACGGTTACACTACAGAAAATGCATAATTGCTATATCACTGACAATGTCCGAACTACGTTAACTCGCGAACTTTATATTTACTTGATCATTTAATAAGCAATAACTCAATCCCCACACTAACTTGCAAATCATTCTACTTAATAACAGATTTTTGGCATATAAACTAATATTATAAATACCGGCTGATCACATGCTCGGATAAACCATCCCATGTTGTTAACTTCTTAAACTGGTGATAGGTGGTATCCAATAGGAGTTACTTTCTCATCGTCTGACTTTCAGTCGAAAACCAACAGCCAATAGAAAAATAAGTTCAACAGTTCAACCTTCTTGTCGTATGATATTTAAAACGGTTCGTCCACGAGGTGGCAAAATGTGATAAAAGCTAGCAAATTACAATGTTACCTAGGTAAAATATTTTTAATCCAATCTACTTATTCATTTTAATTGTATCTATAATAATCACGAATATAAATTGGCTTGGGTAATTCAGAATGAATTAATGATTATCTGATATTGGGATTGGAAAATATAGAGTTGTTAGTGTAATTAAGCAATAAAAAACTTGGTGTAAGTCCTATATTATGTTCTTGAATATAGTTTGAGTACAACTTATCATTCGATTAAAGCAACTGGTATAAATATTGTAAACTGTAAGTATCGGGTAACAAACTTAGCCATTTATGAAGTCAGCAAATTTCTTTCGCTTAACCAAAGAATGTTTGGCTTTAACGGAAGAAGAATAGGTAGGAAACCATTTTTGTCTTTTCATTATTCACGAACTTCACTGAAAAAAACCCAACAAAAACTAAACACATACACACATATATATAGCAGAATGGAGAATATGCTGGT